ACACCAGAACAACCACGACAGCTGTGCTTCTACCAGTACGAAGCGGGCCTCGTTCACATAATCGCCAGCAATCTTGATAGCTTTCAAAGCGCTGTACGTCGCACCGGGCCCAATCTTGGACAGACAATCAAGGGCCAAGAGCCGGATCAAGCAGAACAGCGAGAGGTACTAATCCATTCGTAGATTGAACCTTCATCAACGTCAACGTCATAATTTCAACGTCAAGGTCATAATTATCGGATGTGGCCAATGGATAACAAAAAAAACTGGCCGTTCCAAACAAGACGTAACCCCTAAACCCTAAATCCTCTACAAAGGAACCTGATTATTCAAAAGCAGCCCCGAGGCTCACGCAGTCCCGAAAGTTTTTGCTTTTGGGGCTTAGGGTTTAGGGTCAGGGTTTAGGGTACCGATTTACCGTCACAACAAGCAGGATGATGATGAAGTCGATGAAGACAACAGCAGCAACAACAACAACAACAATGGAGACTAAATGTCCTGTCCTAGTCCTTCTCCTGCTTCTGCCTTTCACACTGTATTTTGTAGTCATTACTACTGACCTTCTCCTCGATCGCACAACACTTGCACTAATGAATTGCGAGAGTCCTGAGAGCTTGTTCTGCAACTTCTGCTGCAACTGCTGAGTCTATCAGTCATGTGATCGGCTCACCGAGGCTGCATGCTTGCAACTATATTGAGGCTTTGTCTCACGTTTTTTGGAATGTTTCACACAGCGACGGAGCCGCGTTACCGCGACATCCACAACATGCAATGTTGTGCAGTACTCACCTACAGTTAGACATTACAGCCGTGTCTGTGCAGTCATCGTCGCTGCTGCTCATGCAGCTTTGCAGCCTTCCGACACACAGACTACATCGCCTCGCATTCAACAGCATCCCACCCGGTATGCATAGGCAGCTCCTCCCCGTCTCCTCAACCCTCGCTGAATCATGCTTAGCACCCTGATTTCTCTCGCCTGCATCTACTTCGCACCTTCTCTCACGAATGCCCTACGGTTTAGGGTTTAGGGTTACTCTGACCCATCCAGGGCCCACGCTCCATCCACCATGACTCCGGACCCGCCCCGCAGGCGCGCGGTAATGGCCCCCGCCAGCTTCCCAGTCTAGGCGCGCTCGGTTGCGATTCACGGTGGCAAAAAAGGTTGCATTGTCGAGCTTGTCCATATTTATATTGTTGACTTCATTGTAATTACTGCTATAACTCTGCAAGTATTATCATTATCAAGTTATCATTGTCAGCAATAGACTAAATACTGGAATTACTAGGCAGATGGGGAAGGCGGAAGCTTATGCATAGAGCAAAGCTGCCATGTCGACAGATTGCACTCGTCAGGCCCATTGTTACGACCACAGCTTCAGTAATCATGATTGATTTCAGAGAAGTAACTATGAGAAATAACTCGAAGAAGATCGTCTGAAAAAACTCATCTGCTTGTGACCATGAGTATGACTCTGAGCATAGTTGCTGCTATTGTGAGTCAAGCCTATATAATAACAAGGGCTGGCAAAAATAAAAGACTTCCTTCTGTCACACGTGACAACTCTTCTCTTCTTACTTTTGCCCCTACTAGTCCACCAGTCCACTACAACTATGGTTGCTACCATTAGAGCAATCCATACATGCATGCACGAACGAGGATAGACACAACATAATGCCCTGTGCTGGTGACAGCCGGGCGCAGAGCGTTCACGCCTGCCGAGGCCTGCAGCGTGCTGGTCTTGGCCTTGCCCCGAGAATGCCACGAAGAATTACACACATGTTTACATACTAGACAGTGCATGTACAACGTAACTACAGGTTCATCTATTTGCATATGCAACTACGAGTGTATACATGTGTATGTATGTATGCATGTATCTATGTATGCATGTAAATAAGAAAATAAGTTTGTGTGTATGCGTATTATGTACTTGGACTCGTAATGTACGGATATACCTATACGGAAAATACACCCACAGGCAAACATGCATGCATGTATACAACAAATTCAATACATTTGTATACATATATATATATGCACATATATCTTGATACAGGTGTGTGTAAAAACATATGTACATGTGTACATATATATATATATATATATATATCCATATGTGTATACATATATACAGGTGTGTGTATATATATATATATATATATGTCACAGTGCATGCATGTGTACGACTGACTTTTTACGGTATCATGTTCTGAAAAAGACAACTACGATACATAATCGCCTGCCAAGCAGCTTACATTACACAGCCAGAACGGCATACAGAAGCAATGATGTCACTTACGCAGATGTATGCACCACAAGACATGCAGTGACAGCTTGCAGATGTACCATATTACAAGTACCCAGTAATAGTTGTGATGTACAGCAGCGAACAACGGATCACAGAGCCATCCAGTGGCACAGTACCGCAGTACGTACATGAAAGCAGAGGCGCGCACAAATGCAAAGAAGTATATCACAGTCTAGTGAGATAAGCAAACAAAAGGCAAATACTGATTCACGAAAATGCACAACATGCTTAATCTCCTCATATGCAAGGCCACACAAAAACCGGTCATGCCGTACTCTCTAAACCAACAGCATCTACCAGTTCAACATAGAACAACATCTGGTCCCACTGCACAGTGCAGCGGAAAAGCATGCTGCGGTGGCTCGGAAACCTCTGTAGCGCACGGCGAACAGAGTTAATTCGTGCAGGAATGCCCGAAGAGTGCCCTAAACCCTGAATCCCCAAACCCCTAACCCCCTAAACCTGATGATTCCATCCCGCCCAAACCTGACAGCCCCAAGCCTCCCTGAACTCTAAACCCTAAACCCTAAAACCGTAAACCACAAACTCCAAACCGACCCCAGAAAGAGCCAGAGGCCCGCCGGCCTCGCCCGCAGAAGCGAAGAAGCGCCCAGGAAACTGAGCGCCTTGTTGAAGGAGGGTTTAGGGTTTAGGGGTTTAGGGGTTTAGGGTTGAGGGTTTAGGGGTTTAGGGTAGTGTTTTAGAGGGGCCTCTATACTTAGAGTAGGGTTCCTTGATGTTGTAGAGGGGTCTATAAAGGCTACTGTAAGGGATCCATACGGGTACTACATTATGGAGGTCTTGGTTGTCAGAGCAGGGGTCTTGGAGGATACTTTGGTGCAGCTCTAAGAGACTGTATGGAAAGACTATTGCAATTAGCCCGACTGCTATAATAGGCTGTTGGATGCCTTTAAGGGTTCCTTTATGGTTTGCTTTACGGGCTACTTCAAGGCTTCTTTAAGTTCAAAGTTTAGAGAACTTTGGGGTTTCGAGCTTTGGGCTTACTTGTTTAGGGCTTTGGGCATTTGACTGATTGCTTTTTTGAGGGTTGAAAGCTTAGAGTAGGGTGTTGGGGTTACGATTCATCATCATCTTCGTAACAGCCATATTTGCTTAAATGCTGCTACCCATAACGATCGCCCCAATCACACACAGTCATCAAAACCATGGTCATCATCACAATGATAGCCTTGATTTCGTAAAGTCCTGCTCCATTGTTTGTAAGTGGTCATCTGGGTCCTTCCATCACTAGCCAGTGTCATCCTCAAGCTAGAGTCGTGATCCGCCTACACTACCCACGTCTTCCTCAACCCCAAACCCACGCTAGGAAGACCCTCAAGCCTAAACCTCTGCCCGTAGAGACCTTCAAAATCCCAATACCCCAAGATCCTAAACCCTTAAAGGAACCCTGAAAGGAACCCTTCAAGGGAACCCTTAAAGGAACCTCTTAGAGGGACCCTTCAGCTCCGACCCCGGCCGGGAACTCGCAAGCGGCGCGCGACAGACAGCATGGCCACCAAGTTCAAGCGCCCGACCACCGAAACTGGAGATCTTTTGAAACCCAGCTAAAACTCCAAGGTAGGGTTTGAGGCTATGGCATAGGGTCCGAAAGCATGAAAACCTCGACCCCAGGACAAACAGGACCTTCTTCAATCCTGCAGTGCATCTAGGCAAACGGAGGCTAGCAAACAGATTGGGCTAAGATGAATCCGAAACAGCTCAGCAGGGGATGCGAAGCTTTGGCAACAGAATGGCACAGGCCCAAGCGTCTTGACTCGGTCCACGGACACAGCAATGGACATGCTGCACATCACAACGCTAATGCGTAATGGTCATAAAAACATGGCGGAGATCGCGTAGCGCTGCCGACGGCGGTAGGGCCTAGCCACCTAGTCATAGCAAAACAAACACCAGCTCAAATGCTGGTGAAGATCCCCTCATGCTCCTCCTTCTCCCTGGCAGTCTCGCCTTCGCCTCATCTAAGATCAAGCCGCGTCCCTGGAACCAAAAAACCTTGATATTAGGGAACAGGGTTCTCGGGTTGTGCAGAGTATAACATGGCCTAGCTGCCCACCCGTTCCTCCGACTCATTCCGACTCCAGAAACCCAAAACCTCCAAACAAGCAAGAATGCTGTTTTGGCACAGGCTCGAAAATCAAGGCAAGAAGGCACTCCGTACAGCTGATGACAGGTGCTTTGTACCAGGCCTTTAGGGTTTGGGGTTTAGGGTTTAGGGGTTTATTGTTTAGGGTTTACAGAATTTCCTGTCCCCTGATTCTGCATCTCAGGATCACTCCTGGTGCAGACTGCAAGTCATCAGCACGGCTCTGGTCCGTCCGATTGCCCAAGAAAGACCCGGAGGCCCTTTATTCGGCTCAGAACACTATCTTGTTTAAGAAGGACGGAGACCATTGCGTGGCAAAGGGCTTGGGTTTAGGGCTTTACATGCCCTGAGCCACTGTCATGTTGGCAATCTTCCTAGAAGGACCACAGTCCAGGCTCCAGCCTCTCTTGTCACATTGCTAGGGCCCATTGTCATTGTCATCTTTGGATAGGCAAAGAGTTTCTGAAAATTAGGGGTAATCTATTTTGGGGTCCTTCTATAATAATCCCGACCATTTAAGGTGATCCTCCATGAGGGGCGTCCCCTATTTTCGGAAACTCCCACATGGCGACGTGCACTTCTTCGACTCAGCCTTTGAGGATCCACCGACCCAAAGCCTCGGGGAAGTTTTGGAGTTTGGGAGTTTAGGGTTTAGGGCTTAAGAGTTTAGGGTTCAGGGCTTAGGGCATAGGATTTTAGGAGTTTTGGGTTTAGGGTTTAGGGCTTAGGAGTTTTGGAGCTTAGGGCTTAGGAGTTTTAGGGCTTAGGGTTTGGGGTTTAGAGTTTAGGGTTTAGGGCTTTGGGGCTTGGTGTTTAGGGGGGATGTGAGGGTTAGAGGTGAGGTTGCAAACTTTTTTGGCTTGGATATAGGGTGTTAGGAATAGAAACTCTCCAGACTTACGGGTTGAGGTTTATGGTTGAGTTGAGGGCATCAGATCTCATGTTTCGCAGTTCATGGGCTGCTTGCACGAATCACACGACACGAGACAGTGACCAAAGCTGAAGCTCGAGTCCTGGACTGTAGAAGACTACAAGGGACTAAGTAGAGTTTACGGAGTAGGGTGTAAAGTTTAGGCACAAGACAGTACTTGGAGGATCATGGGACTGAGTAACTATGGTTATAAGTACCTTAACTCGGGTTATAAGTAACTATAAGTATAGTTACCAAAGTAATAACCGTAGTTACTAAGTCCCATGATCCTTCAAGTAACGGAGTAAGACTAGATGAGATTCGATGAAGCGCTTCCCTCGCTTCAGAGATGTCCGCTTTCTTCTCTGGTAGGCTCACTTAAAATCCTCAACTCTCAGACCGAAATAAACCCTATACCTTAAATCCTGAACCCTAAACCCTAGACCCTAAAGCTCTAAACCCTAAACTCTACAACCCTAAACCCTGCCCCGTTACGGCTTGGGCTCAGCGCTTCAGTTCCACGAACTCGGTGGCTTCTTGCTTGCAGCAGCTCTGATGCCAGAAAAAGCTCGCACTTAGGGCTCCGTCCAGGCCTTTAAGGGCTCCGGGAACTCGAAACTAGATAACAGGATCCTCCAAAAGCTAGGGTTTAGGGTTTAGAGGTTTGGGCAAGCCAAACCCAGCTCCAACAGCTGAGAATCACCTGAAAAGCGTTGCAACGTCGAGCGTCGGTGTTCGCAGAAAACGCACCTCCTCCCGCTGTGTGCTTCTGCCTGAGCGAGACGCAGCCCCTCCTCTGAAAGAAGCTCGCAAGTGCAAAGAACACTTTTTCATAGCAGAATCTCACTCACTTGCATAATTGCAAGAGAAAAACATGTATACCGTTATAACTTAGTTATAACTTATACCCTTATATCATTTATGTCAGCTGCACAAGTTCCATGCGACGGGCATGGCAGATGTGTCTTTTGTCTGCTTGGTCCAAACTCAATGCTTCACCTGGTCTTCTCCATGTTCTTACGTCTTTGGTTTAGGGTTTAGGGTCATGTCTTCTTTGTTTGTTGCTCCCTGCAAAGCTCATGTCATGCATCTCTACGATGACAGCGCTGCAACCCTTGCGCCGTAAGATGCACCATGCAGGCAGAACGGACGAAGGTCGAAGGCTGAAGCCATGCTGCGCATCTTCACGGACCTCCGCGGCTTCGAATCCTGCGATGCAGGAATAACACGCATTCGCTTTCAGGATATGGAGGTTAGGGCAGAGGGTTGAAGTTAAAGGTTTCGGGTAAGATATAGAACTTCGGAGCTTTACGATGAGCCTGAGTTTCGTGAATGTGCTGCTAAGGATTGTGACTCTTGCTTTCACTGCCTGCATCGTCAACAAATGTATTATTGGCGCTGCCCTCTCGCAGCTCTGATGTGACTTCTGAGGCCATTCTACACTACTCCCGTTCATGTACATGTCACACATGTTAAGACCATTTTAAGCTGCACCCTGGCCCTTGTTGTTGTTGCTGCCATCCCAACTAAACTAACTTTGATCTCGCCGCCGCCCCACTTGCATGCTTGTATTCTCTTCTGCTTGTGAAAGCTGTTGCGAGCGTTCGCAGTAGTAGTAGTAGTAGTAGTAGTAGTAGTAGTAGTAGTAGTAGTAGTAGTAGTAGTAGAAGTAGTAGTAGTAGTAGTAGTAGTAGTAGTAGTAGTAGTAGTAGTAGTAGTAGTAGTAGTAGTAGTAGTAGTAGTAGTAGTGTAGTAGTGTAGTAGTGTAGTAGTGTAGTAGTGTAGTAGTGTAGTAGTGTAGTAGTGTAGTAGCAGTAGTAGTAGTAGTAGTAGTAGTAGTAGTAGCAGCAGCAGCAGCACTACTAGTAGCAGCAGAAGTAGCTCGTCAGGAGCCCTTTAGCAGCAGTTCTGAACCCTGCAACCCGCCAACAGTCCCAAAGCCCTGAGCCCAGAAGGATTGCCAATGAGATCCTTCCGGCTCAAGAAGGCCGCGCACGAGGGGCACGGACATCGCGAAAGGCGGTCCGCCCTCCTTCTCGCAAATGGGGAAGATACCTTCAAGTCTCAAAGCATGGCTATTGTGACGATATGTTTCCTAGGTCGACTGAAAATCAAGCAGCGGAGGCTTCATAGCAGCCGTCTGCAAAAGCTTGTTGGAAACCTTCGTCACTGCCATCAGCAGCAATAACCACAGCCAACGCTACTAGCATCACCATCATCATGAGCGGTGGCATCGCCATCATCATTTTATCACAAAGTCATCAGCGGATGTTGTCATCACAAACACAAACACCATCACCATCATCCAGCAACCTTGTCGCCATTGCAATCTTCATTTTCTCATCAAAATTACACGAGCTATCAACCGCGAGAGCCTATTTATCATGCTAACCACGAATGCAGCAATCTCTGCTGCAACGGTTGCTGCTCTGCTGCTCTGATCACAGCTGTCGATATCCGCTTCCGCATTCTTGACTGCACAAAAAAGCCCCGACCTCCCGAAAACAGCAGATACCAGCTGAATGCCGAGAGACAGGTCAAGAGCGTTCCGCCCGGGTTGAGCAGCGCCTTCATCTTCCTTAACCCTAAACCCTAAACCCTAAACCCTAAACCCTAAACCCTAAACCAGGGTTTTGGGTTTGGGGTTTAGGATTTAGACTTTGGGGCTTCAGTTTGGCGCGCTTAGGGTGTTTAGGGCTTTAGAGTCCCAGGGCTTGTAAAGTAGGTGTTCCCGGCGCTTTAAGGCTTTTAAAGCTTTAGAGCTTTATGGCCATTAAGGCTTTGGGTGCATTGGTTTTCTAAAGGTCCCTAAACAATCCTAAAGAAGACCCTAAAACCCCAAACCCTAGTTGGGCCCTTAATCCTTCCAAAAGAACCTATGCCCTGGACCCCGAAATGCCTGAACTCGAACTCTAAACCCTAAACCCCAAACAACCCTGAACCTTAAACCCCAAACAACCCTAGACCCTACACCCCAAACAACCCCAAACACTACACCCCGACCAAACCTAACTCCAGGAATCCTGTGATGAAAGCCCCTGTCGTCCGAGCTGCTTGGCCCAATCTGTCCGAACGCTGGGGTCCAAGGCGCAGAGGAATGTGCAGTCCTTACTTAAATGATCATGCGACTTAGTTATTAGGGTAACTATCCTATATAATTACGTATAACCCCAATAAGGGTTCCGGTCTTAAGGCTTTGGATTTGGATATTTAAGGTATTACGGTATTAGGGATTTGGGCTTTGGGCTTAGCATTTGGGGTTTAGGGCATTTAAAGTATTCAAGGCATCTAAGGGTTTCGGGTTTAGAGCTTTGGGTTTTCTGTCTGCAACTTGTAGTCAAGGGTAGCACCATACCGTTGCGACGGCCTTCAAAAACCACGATTGCACATTCATCGATAGGTATTACTTTATTGTGATCTTTGCGGAAGACTCGCACAAATCTAGGCTTTCTCAAAGTCATTCATGTACATCAACTAGGTCACTATAAGAATTACTGTTATGGTTTGCGTACGTTCCCCCACATATAGATATTTAGCACGTTTGGGCATAAGACCCATACCCCCCACTGCATATAGAACAATTATAGATCCTTTTCGGGACCCCTGTAAGGAACCCCATTCTAAAGCTCTACAGTACCCTTAACAAGAACCCTAAACCCCAGACCCTGAACCCTTAACAGGAACCCTAAAGCCTAAACTCCTAAACCCTGAACCTACTAATGTAGGAACCTGATTAAGAAACTCTGGGCCCATAACCCCCAAAATAGTAAGATCATATATAAAGAACCCTAAAACAGGCCCAGGGCTTCTTAATCAGGTTCCTGTACTACGGTTGATGAAATAAACCCTACATTGCCTTAAGGAGCCTAAACTATGGAAATTATGGTATATTCCTTATTCGGGGCAATGCAGGATTTACATCATCAACAGTAGGTCCATAGGTCTGGGCAAGAGTCCTAAACCCCAAACCGGTAAACCCAACCCTAAGAACCCTGAACCCCAAGTCCTAAACCCTAAACCCTAAACCCTGAACCCTAAACCCTAAACCCTAAACCCTAAACCCTAAACCCTAAACCCTAAACCCGAAACCCGAAACCCTGAACCCTAAACCCTAAACCCTAAACCCTAAACCCTGAACCCACTAGGTCTGGGCATGAGGCCCAGATCACATCAACTTTGGGCTCGAGCTCGAATTTAAAGAAGTCCGCGCACGCCACCTCCCCGACCCCAAGGAATTCTGCGGGGTTAAGGGCTTTAGGGTTTATAGAGTTTCGGGCTTATGGAGTTTGGGGTGTAGGGTTTATAGAGTTTGGTGTTTAGGGTTTTTTATCGGCCGTTCTCCCCTCACAGCTCCAATGCCCGTAGAGGATTGGGGGTTTAGGGTTTAGGGTCTGCGGGTTCAGAATCGAAGAGACTGTGCTTTGGCAGTGTATGGCACCGGGCTTGCAATCTAGGCATGGTGCTGGCTACTTGGAAAGACCAGCCAAACCAATGAAAGAACTGCGCTATCCAGCATGTCAATCGGCACACCCCATGCTTCAATCCAGTCGTGGGCACAGAGACCAGGAACACGGAATTTACGGTTTGATCCAGGCTGTTGCCCCGAAGCAAGACGAAAGCAATTTTGAAAGCAGAGAGTACAAACCACACCCTTAATGTGCATAGCTGCAATATTGTGCGAATCTGCTTCGTGCAGCATGCCGAAAATCTTAACACCTCTGCGCGGCGTGACTGGGGACCAGAATGAAACATTCGACCAGAGGAAGCAAGTGTGATACTGCCGTTTAGGGTTTAGGGTTTAGGCTTCGGGGTTTGGGGCGCAGGGTTGCTGCTTGACCCTCCCACCCACATCCCTAAGACCTCGATTTTGGAGGCTGCAGGGCTGCTGGAAGCTTTGAGGAAGTCCCTTGCAGCATCAACTGCCGTAGGTGCCAGGTCAATGGCGACAACACCTTTCAGTCAGGGCTTAAGGCTTAGGGTGACGAGTGACGAGGGCTCTACATCACATGGTCACTGACAAAGAAAGGCTCTGCAATCCAGGCCGCTGTCGAAACCATACTCTGCAAGCGCGATGGCATCCTCATAGATGATTCATGGTTGAGGCTCTGAAGCAAGTGCCTATTCTACAGCTCCGGTTTAAAGATGCTTCGATGTGATTCGAGAAAGAGCGCATGGCTCCATGCATATTAGGAACAGCTTCCCATGGGCTCAAGATCTACTTGGAGGATCGTGGGACTTAGTAAATACGGTTATAAGTACCTTAATTGGGTTATAAGTAGTTATAAGTATAGTTACTTTAATAATAACCCTAGTTACTAAGTCCCATGACCCTTTAAGTACAGCTACGCGCGCCGCCGTGCTATCGTCAATCTCAGCTCCTTATCATCATGGATGCTACGGGTAGGAGCATCACCTCTCAAGAATGCTCTTGCGAGCCATCCTCCGATGATCACATTTAGGGTGTAGGGTTTAGGGCTTGCTTTTCATGCAGTGACTCTTTTTCTGGGTTTGAGTTTGAGGTTTATGTTTTGGGGTTTTAGAGTCTTCTAACCCTAAACCCGAAACCCTAGCTGTGCAGCTGAAGGTCATAGGCACGGCCACAGCCGGGGACGAGCGCTCGTTTCCCCGTACAGTCGCCCAGCGACCTCACTTGTTGCGGATGGAAACCGTATGTCCTACTGTTGATGATATAAATCCTGCACTACCTTAAGGACCCTAAACTATGGGAATTATGGTATATGCCTTATTATGGGTGTCATCAACCGTATGTCCTATGTTCTGGATCCCCAATCCCTTAACCCTAAAACCCAAAATCCTACAAAGAGGTACCGAGTCCACAAGTATACAATCGGAAGCATGCCAACACGTCCCCCTTGTTGGAAGACACCGGGCTTTGATAGCATGAGCACTCAAAGGTCAGGTAGGATTGTCAAGCAGCTGCTTTCTGCCATAAAAATACGTCGCCCACTTCCCTCCTGGATCGATTTGTCTTTAGCACAGAAGCAGCAACCCTAAACCCAAAACGGCACGAAAGAATCGCAAGAGGCAAAGCACAGAAGCTTCAGCACGGGACTTCCCAAAAGGCATGAAATACGGGCAGGTGCAAGAAACAACATCACGCTAGAAAGGATCATGGGACTTAGTTTTTTTTGGGCGGCCCTATGCAAAGCAGACACAAGTCAGCGTACTCACTGTGAGTAGGAGAAGAAGGCCATCTCTTCCATGAGCTCCTCGGTGGACCGAAGGCCTGTGAAGTGGGTCCTCTCGTCGGCGTCGGCGGGGACTTGGACAAACTTCACCGGCCACGGGAACTCATACCGGAACCGGGCGATCCAGTGGTCTAAACCTTCATCCTCTCCCTCGTTGTACTCCGGAATGGCCTTGGTCAGGAACCTGCTAAGTCGCTTGGCCTCAGCATAGTTGTGTGCTGTGAGGCGAGCTGCGCTGTCGAAGGCTTCCTGCTCGACAGTTGTCTGGTTGACCTGCTGTCGCAATTGGTCATACCAGATGCTTCGCCAGGTCTCCAAGAGCTTTGTGGCATGCTCCTCTGGGATGTGGATCTCGCACTCCCAGTCTGTGAGGGTGCCTGTGGAGGTTGTCTGTGAAGGACCCCCGCGGCGGTACACGATACGGCCCAGCCAAGCCTCTTTGGAGTCAACCAGGGCCAGCGTCTTCCACCTCGGAACCAATGGCTCCTTGGTGAACTTGCTGAAGGCCGCCCTGTAGGCGTTCATGAGTCCCTGGAGCGGCGAAGCAAGCCTGCGTTCAAACTGTGTGACTCCAGGGGAGAGCTTTACAGGACCGCCGCCCTTGTACTCGTAGGTCTTGGCTGGCTCTGTTGACCCGGCTGCCTGTGAGGATTCCGCCGGGGTCTTCTCGGCCGTTGCTTCGGAGCCGTCCTGTGCATCTTCGGGCTCCTTGGGTTCTTCCCCTGTCCCGGGCTTTTCCTGGTGGAAGTACCAAGGGTACACCCTGTCCGCTACCTCCAAGATCCTCTTCCGGACCGTGAGGGAAGGGACTGTGAGGATGGAGGTGGCAGAGAGCTCCGGCTTACCGGGCGTGCCTGTGTCCAGCCGAGTTGTGGCCAGGTCCCACATGCCATCGATATTCCACAGCCCAGCTTTCGCAAGGGCCTTTTCCACTGTGAGGCGACGGTCCGCCTCCGTCTGCCATGTAGGGAAATTTCGGCATACGATGGTGCGCTTGGCCTGCTCGATCTGTGAAAAGAGCATGTCCTTCTCAGCCCATGCGGTGCGGATGCGAAGGGCCCGGACCTGCTGCTCCAAGTTGCCCACTCGCTCGTTCGTCCTCACCTGTGAGGTGGACAAGGACGAGTATACTGCTCCGAGAGCTGGGGCGACCTTCTGCTGCATCGCCATCTGCACTAACTCCATACACTGTCCGACTGTTGCCGGGGCGTTGAGGTCTACCCCCTGGGCTAGCGGAACTGTGAAGGACTGTGGCTGCAGCTGAGTCGGAATTAGCACAGCAGCCGAAGACTGTGGGGCATCCATGCGGGCTTCCATCTGACTCATGCGTGCAGTGAGGTCTTGATGCTGCTCTTCACGCCGTGCTCCTTGCAGCTTCACTTGTTCTAGCTGAGCAGCCACTTCTGCCAGCAAGGTGGACATTTTGTCCAGCTGGTCTCCCTGACCCGACATGGCTTCAAGGAAAGAGGAGGGAGTGACCTGTGAAGCTTGAACCGCTCGTGAGCTTCATGGGACTTAGTAACTAGGGTTATTATTCAGGGAACTATACTTATAACTACATATAACCCCCATTGAGGGACTTACAACCATACTTACTACGTCCCATGATCCTCCTCCAAGTAGATCATATACAACTCAAACCCTAAACCCCCCAAACCTTCCCACACAGCCCTGAAGCCCTAAACTTCCAACCCAAAACCTGCAAAAGCCCTGGAGCCCTAGACTCCGCAAAACACCCAAACTCAAACTCCCCAAACTCTAAACCCTACACCCGAAACTCTAAAACCCTAAATCCTGCACCCCAAACTCTAAAACCCGAAACCCTGCCACCTAAACCCTAAACCCTACACGCCAAGCTCTAAAACTCTAAAACCCTAAACCCTAAACCCCAAACTTCTCAAACTCTAAAACCCTAAGCCCTAAACCCTAAACCCTAAACCTCAAGCTCTCAAACTCTCAAACCCTAAACCCTAAACCCCAAGCTCTAAAATTCTAAAACCCTTAACCCTAAGGGGCCGAGCAGCTTCAGGCGCAGGACTTCCGTGAGAGTGGGCGAGGCTTCGCCGCAGTCGAAGGCCTCCTTGGGCCGCAAGCCTCTCAGGAAGAAATCCCCTGAAAGGGATCCCTATAAATCCCTATAGATTACTATAAACCCATATAGATTCCTATAGATGCCTATGGATTCCTATAGATTCCTATAAATCCCACTAGAAGCCGGAAAGTTGGAACATGAGTATCCTCATGCCCTTCAGGTAGAGTATAAGGGATCCTAGCACTAATCCTCCTAAACCCATGTTCCAACTTGATTCGCTATAAGGAGAGGGGCTCTTTAAGCAACAAGGATCCCTTTAAAATCTTTTTAAAGGGTGCCTTGAAAGATCCCTTTCAGGGGTTCCTTGAAGGGTCTGTTTAAGGGTTCTTTGAAGGGGCCCCTTCAAGGGAAGCTTCGGGTTCGGGTCAGGTTTGGAGCAAGCTTTCGGGAGTCAGGGTGTAGGGTTTGGGTTTAGGCTCTTGGGATTAGAGTTGGGGGGTTTGGTTTGAGGGTTTCAGGAAATGAAACCCTCTTTGGCGGTCGGATCTAGCTGCTGAATCACTGCTCAAGCTTTGCACTGTTACAAGGCTTTAGAGGTTTAGGTCTTTAGGGGTTTAAGGATTGTGCCAGGTCAGGGTTCACGGTTTCAGGATTCTCCCTGGACCGTGCATGGCTTAAGGCCAAAGGGCTCTTAGGGCTTACGGATACAGGGATCTTCGGGCTTAAGGCTAAAGGGATCTTAGGGCCCAAAGAGTCGCGTCGCCTCGGGCCCACATGGACTCCCACATGGGGCTGGCGCCAGCATCCGTCATGGCAAACGCGCGCACGGACTGCGCCGGGGAGAGCAGTCGGGCTGCTGGTAAGCTGCAGATCAACGCGGCGAGGCAGCGGCGGGAACGTCTCATGGGACTGGCAGACAAGTGAGGGGAAGAGGTACTTTTTGTACACCTCTTCCAAAATACTACTGTTGCAGTTGAAGTGGTTTCGAAACGTTGCTCCACAAAAACACGACACCTTAAAGCCGAAGCGCTGCAATGCGAGCAATCCCAAACATGCGAGAAGAACAACCTCGTGGCAACAGGAGGAGTAGCAGCACCAGTTGCAGAAGACGACATGATAACATTATGTAGGCATCTCAATGCACGTAAAACTATTAAGGAGAATCGTGATAACGCTCCTGACAATGATATTTGGGATGGTGGCACTTGTTGGACCAGGAAGACATGAGTCCAGGCTGGCATGCGTAAGTTAACTGACTTATTCTATAACGTTTGAAGAGAGACGCTAAAGAGACAAGAATCGGCAAGACTGCTAACATCATACACAGAAACGATGCGAACCGAGGTGATGTCATTGCCGGCAGTGGTCTTGGTGGTGATGGTGGTGGTGGTGGTGGTGACACACCGAACAGCAGCAGTCATCATGATCAGCAGAGGGAAGCATACATTGGCACACATACCGGGTACAATGGCCAACATCGAGAGAGAGAGCCACATGCTCATGTGTGTGCACGTGATCGCCATCATTCGCCATCATCCTGACCATCCACAGTGTAGCTGAACACATCTGCCTGAGAGCTTCAAACAGGCACAAAAGACACCGAAATACGGTCGAGGACTGCATGACCAGTGCAGAAAGGAGCAGCCAAGGATAAAAAACAATCTCGCGGAACAGCATGCCCCCTGAATGAACCGAAACAGAGAAAAGCCACAGCAGTCAATTTTCACATTCCCAGCCCTCCGTCCTCTTGCTTGCAGCTGAGCCTCTAATGGTTTCAATATTCTGCGAACATCCCAGATCTCCGGGCTGAGTTGCAAGGCGAGGCTACAGCCGACCTCTGGCCGGCACTGGGTGGAAAGCCCAACTCGCCCTACTCGACTTGCGAGGGAAGGGAGGCTCGAACCTACACGCGGCCCCCACGGTTTAGGCTTTAGGGTTCCGGGTTGAGGCGTGACGCGGCTGGAGCTCAGCAGATCGCCGCGTCGGACTCGCACGGGTAACGCAAGGTGCGGAATGAGCGATTCGTGCGAAGGACGACGGGAAGTCCAAACCCGCTCAGATCGCATCCCATGCCTGTCTGTGACAAGGGACGAGTTTGCCGATGCTCTCGTGGCGGATTTTCATTTATGCGATACCTCGAGAAGCTTGGAACAGGTATAGCGCAGGCCATTTGTGCACGCAAGCCTTTTTGAAAATGTGCTGGGCCTGCTGACATCAGTACACAGGAAGAGAGTTAAGGGCGTAAAACGATCTAAAATTGAGTTTCAGAGATATCACATTGAGGCGAAAGAACTCACTCACACTAAAATGAACCCGGAAAGTGCGCGCCTTGCAAAGGCGAGCATTTGGTCCTGAAGCCGATCCACATGCTGTCACCGCAACTTAGGAGTATCCGAAGTACTGTTGGGGTTTAGGGTTTAGGGTTTAGGGACACTCTATTGGGGCGTGCAGAGTGACACAAAGGCCTGTCTCCCAAAGCCACGAGCTGCCTACGCAGCCACCTACTCGGAGACCCGGCCGCCGTGGATACATGCCTCATCGTCATCGACTCATCGTATACGGGAAGTTGTGGAGGGGCACGGGCTCAGGGGGGGTGGTTGCTGTTGACACAAACATGAGAGAGCTGCGCAGATACCGTCATGTTCGGCCAGACCTCTTTCTTCGGCAAGGGCGCTTCGGAGCACTCACAAACACAATGTCATGAATGATCTCCACAAAGAGGATCCCTGAATGGCACTATGGGAATTCGTACAAGGCATTCTTTCAAGGTTCCGCTTGAGGGCTCCATTCGACCGCCGAAGTTTGGAATCTCATGTCAACACCAAGCAGTTGGTCGGTCGACTAAGTCTCTCATTCAGGGTCTCGGGGGTTTAGGGCTCTTTTGGGTTTTCAGGGCTTGGGATTTATGCCAAGCCGCGAAGTGCTAACGATGCCGGGTAGTCTCTGAGTCGGAAACCCCTCAGCCCTTAACTCCGATTACCCCTTTCGGTACGTCTCTCGGAGCCGGTCGATAGAGCCCGCAACTGTGGTCGAAACGATGTGGGCAGCCGCTCTCGTCTGCAATGGTGTGCTTTGCATCTTGTGCCGCTGCTTATGCCTAGGGTCCTACAACGATATCCGGACTTCTGCCCAAGATGCGACCCTGCAGGGACGTGCAACTCTCTTGATGTCTCCACGGCATGCCATGTTCTTATCCCAAGAGCCCCTTCACCTTGGACGAAGCACATCTGGAAAGCTTTAATACAAGTTGCGCAGGTGCGACCAAGGCCTGCCAATCCCATTCAATTCTTATACGATGCCGATGCCCACCTCCGACGGAGCTTCCACGGCTTGGTACCTAGGCCTGGCTGTGCCCAGGGTGGGCGGAAGGACCTGCACACGAAGCCCGGAGCACGCCGATTCCAATTTCTGGTCATCGCAACGAAGGGGACAGCTGAGGAAAGTTGCATCAGGCACCACAAGTCTTCTTCATCTCGAACGAGATCGCCCTGCCCTTCGCCCGACGAAGCTCTGGCGCGTCTTCAGAACACGCGCACGTGCCGCCGGGCAGATGCTACCGCGCCACTCGGCACATCGTCACGCAGCTTGCATGTTCACCCGATGTTTTGTCTTGCTCGCCTGTCCGTCGTGCTGCCAATTGCCTTCCCCCGAATTCGCAGCGCAGTCGCACATGCAAGCATTCTGTAAAACGGAGCAGCCGCCGCTGCCGCCGCTGGCCAGGCTTCAAACATAGCACCTTCTGAAGGCGGTCAAGCCTCTGCGGCGCAGCAGCAGATGTCTGGCAGCGTGGAAGACATCTCCAGAGAAGCTCTCACCGCAAAGCCCAGCACAGAAAACACTTCCTTGCAGCCCATCAGGGGTCCGCCTACCTTCACCAGCTCGTTTGCCCACATCCTGGGGCTCTAGACTCTCCAAATTACTGTATACTTTCGGGATGCACCGGCCTGACCTTGCACAGAGAAAGATGTGTCGGATCCTGCTGCATTGCTTCGAAGCTGAGCCAGCAGGAGTCTTCCGAGCCAGAGCCTTGGGGAAAGGGCTTAGGATTCAGGGGCCTAGGGACTTTAGGGACTCGGGTTTAGGGTTTAGGGCTTTAGGGGCTTAGGGCTTTTGGGGTTTAGGCGCCTAGGGGCCACTCTGCAGGGAGTGGCGTGGTGGCTTCCTGCGGTTCTTAGGCGCCGTTGAGTCGGACAACACGTGCAGGGAGACTCGCAAGATCACCTGGCAGTCTCCCAGTTTTCCCAGACGTCCCTTGCCGGTGGGAGAGGCCCTGGGACTGATCCAGGCAGCTTTCAGCCGACGAGGCTTGAAATGCTTGGAGCTTGGGGATCGAGAACTCTTGCGCTCGATTGGTGGTCACCCACAGTTGCCCCTAAAGCATACGAAGACATGTTACAAACGCCGCAAGGGTGCGGAGATCAGCTCCCTGCGTGGAAGCGCAGCGGTACCGTGGAAGGTGGACAGTGGCATAGGGCGGATAGGGCTTCCTCAGATTCTCCGACTGGCGAGCTCTCTTCAGTTCACGGTATCGGCTTGGCAGTCAGAAGCCTGCAGAGAGCAAGCTTGGGGGCAGATGCCATGGCCAGGAATGCATCGAAACGGTGGCAAGAACCCTGCAGATTCACTATATCCAGGTCGATATCCCACGATGAAGGACGAAAGGATGGAACTCCAAGCCCGTCACAGTTGCCAAAGTCAGGGATGCCATGGCCATAACGGCACCTACTTCTCAATGAACTCTGAAAGGCCTTGGCTCGGCACATGTCTGGGCCACGCAGCGCTGCGGTGCGGCACGAAGCCGAGTCCTTGAGACTACAAAGGCTAAACGGGGAAGAGGTTGAAGAGCCTAGGAGCCCCCAAAAGCCCCGAAACTCCCAAGTGATCCCAGGTATCTCAAAGAAAGGTTGTTTGAAAAACAGTTGTTCAAAAACCTATGTGTTTTAAAAGCCTCTTGCAAGGAGCCCGAGACCTAGACAAAGGAGATTATAGAGGTGGAGCTCTTCTTCAAGAAGCAAACTTTAGCGATCCTTTCCTTCTTGGACTCAGGGCAGGGTCACTGCTGCGACCCACGAAGCGCAGAAAGCACACAAGATCTTGTGCTGGCAGAGAGATGCGGCTCCATGCTTTGGGCAACTTGGGCAGGTCTCCTCGGCTTTATGATCCAAAAGCCCCACTCAACCACTAGAGAGTTGGGCGGAAGCTGCTCGGACATGTGGCCATCAAGCACCACGGTGCTCGAAAGCCAGCTGCCGTGGTACTCCGAGCACCCTTCCCCTAGAGCTTCCTAAATCCAGATGCGATGGGCCACCGGTGTTGCCAAGCCCAGATGTAATGTCAGAAGGCGGGTTCACTTGCAAGGCCAGGACTAGAGCTTGCTCGATCTTGGACGCTAAGTGTGGGGAGCAAGGTTCTGCACAGGCTCGACTGGGTGCAACCCGAGTCCAGGTGCCAGATCAGTTCGGGCTCCATCTGCTGACCTACATCCCGGCAGACATGCTCCCAGGCCCTCCGAGACGAGCGGCTCGCTCGGTAAGAGGCTATCTGGGGCTTCAGGGCTTGCGATTTAAGCTGAATCCCAAAAGGGCCTACACGTTTGTCTCTGGTTTCAACATCAGCCACCTTCTCGAGCTCTTGACCCCAGGGAAACTCTCTTGTGTCAGGGCAGGAGGAGGTCAAGGCAAAACGTCGCCAAGTCCTGGGATTCCGGTAAACTGCACGTCTTCATCCCACGGGGATGTTTCAAACTCCCCGAAACCCAGCGGCGCAGCATACCGGGAAGGCTCTGGTCCTAGGCACCTCCAAGTCCCTCGGAGTGAAATCAGACGATTTTTAGGTTAGGGTTCCGGGGTTTTAGACCAGCTGAACCCGGAACCCTGAGCCCTAAACCCTAAACCCTAGGCCCTAA